AGAGTGGGAAAAAAATGAAAAAGAGCTCATTGAATAATAAATGGAATTAATTATCAAATTTATAATTTGAGAAACTTTTGTAACTAATGCCAAAAATTTAAGCTGCATTAATCAAAAGAAGGGTATTTTGACGAGAGCAAAATTTAATCATGATAAAATTTCTAATAAATATAATGTCTCAATTTTTTTAACCATTTATAATAATTTTTTGTTATTTATAGGAAAAAACAATTATTTTGGGGGTCAATTTTAAAAAATTACAAGGGGTTGCGTCAAACTTTTGAACTGAAGTATATACGAGAATTTCAAAAGCTTTCTTCACATCACTGAAGTATTGCAAAGCGGAGTTTGATGCCGCTGTACCGTTAGATAGGACGACTGAATTAGATTTTCAGTGTGAAAATGAGACAAATATATGGAAAGTGGGGGGGGGGCGAAAATTCTTTCTTTTTCTTTTTCTCCAGATTGATTTGTTTTCTACGGTTTATCAACCCTTAGCAGGTTATTTAAAACCAAAAAATATTTTTAGATTCTAAGAATTTTTTTAAAGATAACAATTATTTAGCGATACAAGTCTTACTAATTAACCCATAGCTGTGAGGAGAAGAGGTGACTTTATAACTAATCAGAATTTCATAAACAAACATAAAGTCATAATGTAGATATAAAGTGGGGGACGAATTCTATATAACAATCAATATATAAACTGAGCCCTCACTTTTTGGCCACGATAGTTTCTATACATTTATAATTCAAAGAATGTAAATATATCTAAAAGACATGCCTGTGTAGCTAATCAGTATTTCAGTGATTGATTGATTCGTTTTCTACGGATTATCGATTCTTTATAGATTATTTAAAGCCAGAGCATATTTTGAGATTGTCAATAAGATAATAATGATTAGCCACACAAGTCTTACTAATTAACCCATAGCTGGGGAGAGAAGAGATTAATTTATACCTTTCCCGGCGGTATTTTCGCGTAAGGGAATACAACGAACCCAACTGAAATTGGAACTCGGCTCTCCGAGTCATTATCCATTACACCATCCGCATGTCAAAACGTACAGTATCTTGTATTCCGAAGGGATTACCCATTTAGGTACTGACCAAGCTCAACGTTGCTTAGCATTGGTGATTGTACGGAAACCGGTGTTTCAACAGAGAGTTAAAGAGATTAGATATAAAGGCAGTGAAATATTGAATAAATAAAGTCATTGCAATGACAAAAGTACACAGGCGTAGGCTTTAAGAAAGCTTTATTCAACTGAGAATACAAGGTCCGCGTATAGTGTCCTTTTATAGTCCCAGTAAACAGAAATACCCCCTTGAAAGAGGAGAGTAGCAAAACAAGGGGAGACCACTCTTGATAATTCTTAACAGTCATATTAACAGAGAAATATTTACTATTTTGAAAATCCCTCACGGGAGCCGTTGAGTAGTCTCGCGAGCCGTATACAGTCCGCATTTTGCGCAGGCCTATTTTATACCGTCAAATGCTGTAAACCTATGCAAATGTGTTTAATATACGAGTGTGTTGTATATTTTTATCGGTGACATGATTGTTACGATTTCATTCATATGCTTGTAAAGTTCTCACTGTAAAATTAACTTATTCTTTATATATTTATTTTCAGATGGTGCATATGAAAATTTGATGTCATGAAATGGAGCGGGACTTCTTTTTACTTCACGTAACTATAAGGAAAATGATTTTATATAAGAACAATTATTACTTTTATTTTGTTCCTTTTCACGTCCACACCAGTTATTTCATTCAGAGGCTAAGTGGAAACACTAAGTGAAAACACTAAGTGGAAACACGTCTCATCAAATCTCAGTCACCTTTCTCAGTATCCTTGCAAACAACATATTCGATCGCTTCATCAATCCATACAATCGATCCAATACCCCTTAGACTCAACAATATTTTATATAATCGCTCTTCAGCGATCAATGTGTAACACGATTTTTGTCTTTGGAAAGCAACTGTTATTTCCTTTTTACCTACGCGTAGAAAGTATGAACAATCGCTAATATTTCCTTTACTAACAAGAATAACGATATTTCTGAAATTTACCTATTCCCATGGGGAAAACCGGCGAATATGAACACTGTCGTTCACGAAAAGTAAGAACAAAACGATATATGATTCAAAAGTAGCATTTATTTATTCTAGGATTACACAAGAACATTCTCGTTCATGAAAAGTAGGAACAAAACGATATATGATTCAAAAGTAGCATTTATTTTTCTAGGATTACACAAGAACATTCTCGTTCATGAAAAGTAGGAACAAAACGATATATGATTCAAAAGTAGCATTTATTTATTCAGGGATTACACAAGAACATTCTCGTTCACGAAAAGTAAGAACAAAACGATATATGATCCAAAAGTAGCATTTATTTATTTTAGGATTACACAAGAGAAACCACAAAAAAATTAAAGTTTTTCGCGATTTACGTTTATGTTGTAAATTACTTTCACGAATCAATCCACAAATATAGTCTCCCATTGTGTTTTCGTTATACGATCTTTGACAGTGTCTTTCAGCGTCCAGTATATCCAGGTGGAAGCGCTTATCTTCCTTCTCTGCGTACACCCTTATGTTCTCCTTGAATTTATCAAAGACAGCGTCAACAATATGGAATTTTAGGGCCATCTTACAGCCCATTTTAACGTAGTTCTTCAGCAGAGTCTTCGACCAGGGAGCCTCAAACCACCGCAACAAAGCTGTTCCACGCTACTTTCTCCGTCCTATTTGGGGGGGGAGAGATTTCCTGCCCTCTGTGTTCTTTATTTGTGATCTGACGAAGACAGCGGCTTTCACTTTTGCCGCAGACAGCTTAAGGAAGAAGTCTTGAAGATACTTGTAGGCTGCTTATCTAAATCTGTGACAAATTGTTTCATAAGGCCCAATTTTAAGTGCAGTAGAGGAAACAATACTTTCAAGTGAACCAACAGAGGCTCCCATTTGACAGTGATCCTCCGCACACTGAACTCGGCCCGCTGTAGCTAGTCCCGCCTGTGATAATGTGCTTCGGTGACCCTGCTGTTCCAAAATCAAAGATAACACGGACATTTGGTAAAACTACCTTGGTGACACATCAGGAAGGCCTCCATTTTAAAGTTTCCGATAACCTCCCAACCGTACTCTTCATATTTCAAGACATCTACCAAGATCTTGACACTGCTGTATTCCTCTTTTAGCTTCATCGAGTGATCGAGGGGAAGAGATGGATACATGTTCTCGTTATGAAGCAGCACAGGTTTGAGGCTCCTAGATGTGCTCTCGATGAAGAGGTGCCACTCACTTGGGTTACAGGCGATTCCAATTGCCTCGAACAGACTGGTCACATTGTAGCAAAAGCAAAGCCCATCTTGACGGGTGAAAAATGTTGAAAAACACTGATGACGCTTTCTCTGACCTTCGACTTACTCACTTTCGTCTAAAAAATTCCACTGTTTGCGTCTCGGCATCAAAAGCTCGGCACTGAACTGTGAGACCAACATCTCTGATTAGGTCGTTGAGATCTTTTTGGTTGCGGTTGTACGGGTTTCTCTCCTCAGCTGCACATCTGTAATCTGGATCAATGACTTCATCCCCATCTGAATTTATGTTCTCTTCTGAAGACGGTTGCTCTCTCTTTGGAAGAATGGGTACGGGGAGTTCAAGGCAGTGTGGCTCTGGGGCGATGGATGACAGAAGGTCTGAATATATGATAACAAGCGAATTCTTGAAAGCTCGACGTTTGGAAGAGTCTACCATGCAGATAAAAAACAATTGCTTGAATGGTCAGTTGATTCAGCGAACTCACACATATAAAACAAACATTAGTTAACAATAACATTGTGGAACAAGATTTTTGTCCTTGCTTAGCAACTATTATTTCCTAGTTGCTTACGCCTCGAAAGTATGAGAAATGGTAAATATTTTCTTCCATCTTTGCTTTTGTGACTAGAATAATGATATTTCCTGAAATTAGCCTATTCACATTGGGAAAACTGGCGAATGTGAACAGTCTCGTTCACGCAAAATAGGAAGAAAACCAAATATGATTTAAAAGTAGCATTCATTTATTCTGGGTTTACACAAGAAAGACCAATTTAAGAGTGAGTAGTTTTTCGCAATTTACGCTTATATTGAAATTTCTTCCACGAATCAACTTGAAAAGACACTGGTGACGCTTTCTGTGACTTGCACACTTTCACCTAACAAATTCCACTGTTTGAGTCACGACGTCAAAAGCTCGGCGCTGAACTTTGTGAGACCAATATCTCCGATTAGGTCGTTGAGGTCATTTTTGGTCAGGTTAGAATGGGTATCTATCCTCAACTACGCCTCTGTAATCTAGATCAATAACTTCATCCCCTTCTGAATTCATGTTCACTTCTGAAGACGATTGCTCGCTCTTTGGAGGAATGGGTACGGGGAGTTCAAGGCAGTGTGGCTCTGGGGCGATGGATGACAGAAGGTCTGAATATATGATAACAAGCGCATTCTTGAAAGCTCGACGTTTGGAAGGGTCAACCATGCAGAAAAATCAATTGTTTGATTGGTCAGTTGATTCCCTCCAAATTCGTGGGATTGGGAATTTCATGGCTCTGTTAAATTGTTATAATCTTAATAATTATGTGCCTCGATGGAGTTCGTATTCGTTCGGGTCAGGTTTCTTTGATTGCGCTATAAATATTGGTCAAATGAGGTTTACCAGGGTTTCACTGGCGTCATTTATTATTTCGGTAACGTTACCAATCCAAAACTCATCTAACGCTAATATTAGTCATTTCCTTATAAGGAAACATTCAGCATTCATTCACCGAGCAATCAGTGTCACTATCAGTTGAAATTTATAAAATCTTTCTCTTAAAAACCAACGTCTCTGATCAGACCGTTTTCTTTTAGTCGGAGTAATATGGGTTTCTCTTTTCAGCTACGCCTCTTTAATCTGGATCAATGACTTAATCCTCTTCTGAATCTATGTTCTTTTCTGAAGACAGTTGCTCTCTCTCTCTCTCTCTCTCTCTCTCTCTCTCTCTCTCTCTCTCTCTGGAGGAATGGTTACGGGTAGCTCAAGGCAGTGTGACACTGGGGCGATGGATGACAGAAGGTCTGGATATATGATATCAGGAGGCGCATTCTTACCAGATCGACGTTTGGTAGTGTCCACTATGTAGGAGAAGCAATTGCTGTTGCTGCCTTTAAAATTCGTGGGATTGCGAATTTCACGGCCCTATTTTCCCCCCTCTCTACCATCCTGCAAAATAGAAAAATAAAAATATGAGTATAAAAATAAAAATATATTTCACCCAGTGATATTGAAAAATTCTACTAAAATTTACATTTTTTTTTATTTAAAAAATGTTTAAAACTCATGCGCTGGGTATATAAAATTCTGACTTTGTACCCCAAAAATCCGGAATCCTGAATATTGAAAATCCTTAATATTCCGTTGTTTTATAGCTCTTGTGATTCAATATAGAAAACATCCACGATATTCAGGACACTAATGTGCGATTGTTGAAATATATTTAATACATATTTTTCAATAACATTGTTTTAATAAAAAATAAAAGTAAAAAATACTTAAATTAAAAAAAATCCCAAACTTTTACATTTATAAATTCCACTATCAAAACAAGTCAAACTTTCCATCTTACCTTCTAGAGTTCTTTTATTTTTGCAGGTGAAATGGGGTGCCCAGGGTATGTCTTGATTCTTGACAGGTATGCCAAAATATGCCTTGTAAACCTCATATATTTTAGCAGATGTTGTCACAGAGTAGTTTTTCGCTTCTGCCTTGAGGAATTCGTCACAGACATAGCAAAATATGTCTGCTGGATGTTTACAGCCTCTTGATGTTATATGTGATAAATGCATCTATCGACGATTACTTGGCTGCACTTGAACAGCTAGAATTAATTCGAATTGTTGAGCTTAGGTTCCGTGTATTTAAATTGCCATCTATGTTGTCAGAACGTTGGAGAAATTCATAAAACTGTTAGAAACTTCTCGAAAGTTCTTGAACCTTCTAGAAAAATTCTCCATCAGCAACTCATCGCTGAATCTGTCTGGAATGTAATGGAAAATAGGGTAGTTTAAAAACATCGATGTTCAGATCACAAGAGCAAAGGTTGAAGAGAATAATAGGCATTTCCTTTGTTTTCTCAATAAAAGCAATTAGGAAATAATAATTACTAACCAAAGACAAAAAATATCAAAATTGTGCTACACAATGTAGTCCATAGTTGTTGAAAACATGTTATGTTTTACAGACACAATATGTGCTCCTCGTTTCTAATCATCTTTGTACAACTTCATCTGGCTAGGTTCTGCTATAATGATTCCCAACCACACGACAGCTAGAGAATACTGTATTCCCTGCTAATTAACCCATAGATGGGGAAATAGCGTTTCCAAGGATATTCGTGCGAAAGTTTGGTCGACAGAAAATTGAACACAACTCGCCGATTTCCCGTTCCAAGCCGCTAACCAGTGCACCACCTGCACACCCACCCAAACACCACTCATGGTGATTTTGAGGGAATCTGTAAATTTCCTCGAATCTCTAACTCCCCGCAATGTTAAATGTAGTATTTTTTGTCCCTGTTCCAAGTGCGCCAATTATCATGGGCACTACTGTAACAATCATGTTCCATAGTTTATTTAGTTACTAGTAATTTTTTTTTTTTTTTTGTACACAACAACCAGACGCGATTTCCTCGTATGGAGTGATGAGTAGTTTGTATCTCCAAATCCTACTGCATTCCGTTTTTTCTATTCTATTTTATTTTAGTAAAGCCTAAGTTTCGTGTACATCGCATTTGTATAAATAAGTTTACTCAACGTTTCAGTACCCTTCTCAGTATAGTCAAAGACCCAAGAAACGCCGTAATCAGCATAATCAGAACCTTTCAAATCTCCCAATTCCGATTTGGAACGTGTGCCTACTATTTTGCGAAAGGTCCTAACTTTTATATTTCCTTTCGTTCAAGCAAGGTCCTAGTATTTATCCTATTTCGCCAAACTTTTCATTTAGTATGCTAATATTTGCAAATATTTACGCATTTAGTTATTCTTTTTGTTGCTTTAAATGAACTTGTTGCCCGAAGAAATGCACTTGAATCCACTTTCCAGTAATAAATCTACGGATAATGTTTATACAAAAGTGTTTGGCATTTAAATTAGTTTTCTTGTATGTTTTCTTCATCTTAATCATTCCGAATTATTTGCATTGATGACATTTTTCTACTCAATTAATGTTAGTAAACGTTTAAATTGTGAATTTAAAATAAATTAGAGATAATTAATAATATTAACTACCGTAATCCTGTGTGTTTAACAAGCAGTTTTTTATCCAAATTGTCACCAAAAGTCTGTTGCATCTTATATGTTAGTTTAGAGCACAATCCCATGTTTTCCATTACTCAAAATAAATAAAATCGGGTCAAAATGGATTTAATTATTCGCCGGAGAGATAATATTTATATATCTAATGGCGTTTTGCAACAAAGGGAGATAAATCTTTCATAGCGTTTTCTCCAACTTCCGTACGATTCTGTACCATTTCCAGATTCCGTTGGCTCTTGAAACTCTTAGATGTCAGATGCCCATGAATACAGAAAAAAATTAATTCCTCAGAAACAGTCTACTTCAAGACTAGGAACAATCTTTTTCAGAACTCCACAAATAATTTCGAAAGAAATAACTCAGATTGTCACAATAATTAAAAAAACAAAAAACAAATTAGCATTCAATTTTATTTAAATTTATTTTTTTTAATGTGTATTAGCAATTTAATTCCCGCCCCAAAGGTTTGATAGGATTTACTTCAGACAATTGAAAGCTACTACAGAAGGTATCTGTCTATATTTCTGAGATGAGGTATTATGTACACTATTTACATTATTCGGACTACTGTCCTCATCTTTGTCGCCATATTTCTTCCCACGAATCATTGCTCTGTGGAAAAGAGGATGTTTCTCTGATCACTATAATCTTAACCTTTTCAAATCTAGTGTCAACCGTTATCTTCCCCTCCTATCGATATATAAACTACCCCTTAACGTAACACACTACCTCGAGTGGCCCCTGGGCCTTATACAGGTTGAACCTTACTATAAAAAAATTGATACCATATCAACACTTGCAAGATCAGGATTTTTAAAATCACAGATGTTTCTGTCAATCCGAAATTGAGTGTAAAAGACTGATTTGGAGAACGCCGGAAAAGATATATATGTCATTGAACTGACAAAAATTTCACGGGCGGAATGAATGAATAATGGACCACTACTGGGGAAAACAAAGCTCGTTTCTCATTCACTGAACTGTTTTGGAATTAGTTGAATGGTTGGTGAAATACAAATATTTGGTCAGACGGAACAAAAAAAAAATAAAGCTTTTAGCACATAACCAGAAAAGTTGATTTGGGGGAAATTAGAATCTAACGAAAGATGTCAAAAATATCATCCTGATAGTGAATCATGATGTAAGCTCATATATTCAGTAAATTTATTTTTAGTGCGTATTCATATTTGAGTAGATGTTCCATTTATTTATTAAACGGTATATTTACTTATTTTAGTCAACCGGTCTGAATATTCGAGAAATCTTAAAGAAAAATATGAGCTCTTTAGTAGGATTCGAACCTGAGTACCACTTACTCCTAGGCAGAGAGAAAACGTCATTAGATCCAACATGCCGTAACCAATTCGGCCACAGAGGAGCCGCGGAAGCGTACAACTAATATCTGAAACACGCCTTTAAGTGAATTTCTCCTCTGATTAAATTCCTCCAAATTTTCATATGTACTCAGTTTCGTATTCAAACGTAAACAAAATAATTTTCTAAGATCATTTTTATTTAATGAGATTTCTCGAATATTCAGGTTAGTAGACGCAAATAAATAAACTTGGTACAGTTAAAAATTGCCCTGTTTATCTTAGATTGCCCTGGATTGAATCCAAGTGTGAAACCATGATTAGGCAGATTTCAGCTAAATTTCGTCGTTGTTTTTTTCTCGGCTGAGGTTTGTATAGTTTTCCAAACCCGGCCTATGTTTCGTTCTGGGTGCAAGGATGCTCACACTCCCCATCAAATTAATTCTATTGTTTACAAATATACTTGTAGTTGCGGTGCTGACTACATAGGAAGAACTACTCAACGCCTGGACATGAGAATTAAACAGCATATTCCCACCAAGATCAGGAATCACACCTTATCTTTGAATAGACGTGTCCCAAATGCCTATGGTTCCGCCATATGTGAACACCTCTTAAATAACAGAGGGTGTGCTGCTAATTTTAATGCTGATTTGTTCACTGTTCTGTCCCGGTCACACTCGTTATTTCATCTCAAGGTGCTGGAGGCATTTTATATCGGGTCCCTCAAACCTTCCCTCTCTAAACAGCGTGAATGTTTGTTGGGGCTCGCTATTATTTGTCTCGAGCTCTTTGTGTTCATATTTTCTTTTCACTTCTCCTTCTCATTACACATTTTCTCTTGTTTTAATTTCAGTAAAATCTCCCGTAGAGGCCTGAGGAGCGGGAGCGAAACCGGTTGCTTCGCTTTTAACATGTCTTGTATTATTAAGCTACACACTTTTATTTCTTTAAATAAGTAAATATACTATTTAATAAATAAATGGAACGTCTACTCAGATATGAGTATCCATTAAAAATAACGTTTAAATTGATTTTTAAAAAAATCTGTCGGGTTGATATATAAATATCCATTACCTTAGGAAATTACTCGGTAAATTTAATTTAATATGTATGACTAGAAAAAGCAACATATACAATTTCGAACGAAATCCTTTTCCATGCTTTCATTCTATATTTGTTTTTATTTCCAGGTCGTAACCACAAGTTAGTGACGTCAACAATTTGGTCTCGCCAAACAGAACAATGGACGCAGAACCTGCATCATTTGATGTTCACGGTTATCCGCGAACGGCAGTTAATTTCACCTTTGCCATTCACAACGACAGCAACCAGTGTGATGAGATACTTTCTTTGCTCGCTGAACCACCGCCACCTCTTTGCCTTTGGGTCAAGTTTGTCCTTGGAGTCTTTCTTAGCAGTCTGGCGGCCATTACAGTGACCGGAAATTGCCTGGTCATCACCGCCGTATTCACACACAAACACTTGAGGAACTACACTAATGCTTTCGTAGTATCGTTAGCTATTTCGGACACCCTTGTTGGCGGGGCTGTCATGCCCTACGCTATCCGGCAATTAATGTGGGATAACCGATGGGAACACGGCTTAATTCTATGTCGAATAATTATTTGTCTTGACGTTACATTTACGACCACATCGATTTTCCACCTGGTCTGCCTGGCTGGGGATCGTTACTTGGCCATATGCAAGCCATTCCAACATCAGAAAGTGAAAAAGCGTCACGTGATCGCCGGCATCACAATGTGCTGGACCCTTCCGTTGCTAATTTCTTTTGTGCCGATCGCGAACGAGTGGAACTTACTCGGTATAGAGAAGATTTACCAGTGCATCGCCCCGACCGGAAGTGACGTGTGCGTCTTCCTCGTGAACAAAACATTTGCTGTCACGTGTTCGGCTGTCGCTTTTTACATCCCATCTGTGTTTCTCATAATGTGTAACGCTCAAATCTACACAGCGGCCAAGCGGCAAGCGAAACAAATACGAACGCTCGAACAGGCGATCATTCAGAATAAAAACAAGCGGAAGGCCTTTAAGCACGAAACGAAAGCAGCGAAAACACTGGGCATCATTATGGGTTGTTTTTGTATTTGTTGGTGCCCTTTCTTCATCATCAACGTTGTCGACGCCATTATCCAATACAAGACGCCCTATTATTTGTGGCAGGTGGCGCTCTGGCTCGGTTACAGCAATTCCACCATGAATCCGTTTCTCTTTTATTTTTTCAATCGCTCATTCCGAAATGCCTTCCGTCGGATTCTGCGTCTTAAATCGAGGCGAAGCGCTGTCAGCCAATGCGATGATATGTCTCAACCGGCCACCGCTGCTGCCATCGCCGGCTCACAAGGATCTGATATAAACTGCAGGTATTTGCCTGCACAAACGAATGGATTTTGAAAAGAATATTTTTTAATGGTGAGGCGACAAATAACAAATTTAGAATTAGATAAGCAAAAGTTAAGGAAAACCAAACATCCTGTTCTGATCAAGTTTCGGCAGTTTTACGCAAATACAGGGTGTTTCAAAAATGGTTACACATTTTGAAGTTTTCTCACGAAATAATTTAAGCAACTAGAACCAATTATGTCGAGTTTAAATAATGTATATGAAGACAGTATTTATTATAAATATATGCTCTAAAGATTTTCTCATCGCGTGTTGGCTGTTATTATTCAGATAACATAACACAATGAAATAACAAGCAGCAATCAACATTTTGATAGGTTTCTTGGACTTCTGTGAAAACATTCCATCACCCTTTCTTGCTTCCGAGGGCTTGTAGATATCTGTGTTCTTCCGGAACAGTTCTAGTGATCATCATGTACACTACCATCAGCTTGAAATCTTTAATTCATGTGATTGTAAGCCACATGGGTGGATCAGAATGAAACTCTTTTCGATACCGCCCTTGAAATTCAACTGCATTTTCGTACTTCCAGTAGCATCTAAAGATAAAGGGGTTTTTTTTGTTCACAGCTAAGGCAGGGCGACAGTAGTTCTACTAATGTGTCAGTCTGAAAAAAAAAGCAAATTGACTTAAGCTATACAGTATCTGTCTATGAGGTATTATGTATTTACATTATTCGGACTATTGTTCTCGTCTTTGTCGCCATATTTATTGCAATGTTTCGGCCGTTGTACGCTCCGGCGGCCTTTTTCAGATGGTTGGAATGTCGAACTGAGCTCTTTATTCCGCTCACTGGAGTGGACTGTTCTAGTTCCACGTACCATGTTTAATGGATGTCAGTTATCTCCTGTACTCAAGGACACATGGCACAGTGGATAAAGGCGTTGGTTAGATCCAGTGACAGGACCCAAAGAGTCAATACCCGGTTAAGGCGGTGGAGAACTTGGAGAGGAGAATTAACAAGAGATAACTGATAACTGACATCCATTAAACATGCCACGTGCAACTAGAACAGTCTACTCCAGTGAGCGAAATAAAGGGTTCAGTTCGACATTCCAACCACCTGAAGCAGGCCGGAGCGTACAACGGCCGAAACGTTGTAATAAATATGGCGACAAAGACGAGGAGTTCGAATAATGTAAATAGTGTTAAGGTATACAATGTAAAAGTGAGTATACTGCTTTTTGAGACACCTTATATTTATAAATAATCAGTTCCGTAATTACTGATAGCAGGAGTCACAATTCATGACAGTGTTGCTCTCAATAATCTCCCTAAAACATAGAAACCACCTTTACACATTACAGAGTACATTGAATCTTTATAACTCAAAGATTACAATGAACAAATCTATGAAACACTTGGGCGTATGCATGGAAGAAAGTCTAAACACATACTCACATGTTAATTAAACTAAAATGTTTCCTCATTATAAACATATTCATTAGTATGTTAACGAGTAATTGTTTCAAGAAGAGGTGTTAAGATTTTTGCTGTCTTTCATGGAAGTAATAGAAATTACAGATATAATAGTGCTTTTTTCCCCAATGCTCCCCTTTTCACCATATGTCAGAATATCCCCCAAGAGTGTCTGTCTCAAAAGGGGCATTACAAATAATATATTATTGAAAGTTTTCATTCTTTTCCATATTAGTACAGAAACATTTACATGGATTATTTTTATAGGGGATATTTACAAATTTAATAGCAATAGAAAATGATGAATTTTTAAACTTGAATACTTGTACAGTAATTTATCGTAATTTATACTTTATTACTAAATAAATAAACTGAGACATACTTCAATAAACAAAAAGTTCAATAGAATTCGTAGGTATTGTAATTCAATAAGCAAAAAGTTCAATAAAAGGTCAGGGTAATTAAATTTGTTTTATTCTAAAGAAGGTTACAGTCAATGAGAAAATTGTTAAAAAGTAAAATATATTTCCCTCCCCATCTGAAAAACCTGCATTCCTCCCTGGTTGAAAATTCCGGTGACCTAAAAAGGCATAAATTTGACATTTTCGTTAACGTACTCTATGACGGAAAAATATGGGCTTACGGCCATATCACGTTGAAATACCGGTTTTCGTATGACCACCAAAGTTAAGCAACATTGAGCTTGGTCAGTACTCAGGTGGGTAGTTCTTTCGGAATACCAAGTGCTGTAAGTGTGGATGTACGGATGGGGTAATGGGTAACGACTCGGAAATGTTCATCGGAGAGCCGAGTTTCAATTCCAGTCGAGTTCGTTATATACACGCACACCTGGTTAAAGTATTAATCCACCTCTTCTCCCCTTCCCCAAGTATAGGTTAATTAGTAGGAATTGTATCAGTAGGTCAATATTATCTCCCCACCACCACCAAAAAAATTCTTACATTCTAAAAATATTTTTCTGGCTTTAAATTACCTACAAAAGGTAGATAAGCCGTAAAAAACAAATCAACAGTCAGTTCAGACAAACATGCGCCACATTACATTTTAAAAAAAGAAACATTCACACACACACACACACACACACGTATACACACAATTTCATTCAACTCATGGCTGATTATCACATTAAATCATCGAACTTAACAAGGTTAGATCAATAAGTCTGTAGCCTGACACGGTTGTTAGCTGAATTTTCATCTGAAATTTGGATTAAGTAGATTAACAACAACAGATTATAATATTCGTTACTATTCGAACCGACACGCTCACAAAATTTCGAACGTTGTACTCTACAGACGACAGCTGAACATTGTGAGAAAGGGCGGCTTGGAAAATTTAATACTCACAATGCGTATTAAAGAGAGAAGAAGTAGAGGAAAATAGCAAGCAATTTAAACAGTTAGTGTAAATGAATGGCAAAGCAATGACAAGGAGTTATGGTAACTACAACTGGCAGGAAGCTGTGGTGAGTCACGATCACCAACGTCCTGAAGGGACCCAACACATAAGTGAAGATAATGGTGATGTTGAAACTCCAGCCATCCTCAGTTCTCTGTCGTCGTAATCAGTGACATTTGAAAGGAACACTTTATTCAATCTACAGGATAGATTGTTCTCATTCTGCTTTCCATGCCTATGAGAGATAACTCATATCTGCCAGGAGAGATAATTCATATCGTTCTTATTCCCATTTCTGTCGCGTGTTCGTTTCTTCCACTAAACGAGAGTAGAGGACTTTTCAGCAGTACTAGGACCAAGGATTGAACTCCCAACTGCTAGGGGAGGAGATATGCTGAAACCCTCGCTTTTAATCTACTAAGTACTGTGTACAACGGCAGGCACTTGAAGGAGGCCTAAGGGTAGAACAGCCGAAAAGTTGTGAGAATAAAAACCAAGATGAGCATGCTGGTCCGAAAATCAACGAACATGATAATGATAATTAATCTAAAATACCCCTCACATAAGATTAGATTATGTTGAAAGATAAAGATTTATTATGCAAAGTAAAGACATTTACACCCATACGCATATATATATATATATATATATATATATATATATATATATATATATATATATATTAGATAGATAGATAGATAGATAGATAGATAGATAGATAGATAGATAGATAATATTAGTGGTCAATATACATATATATATATATATATATATATATATGTAAATCTATATAAATAAATTTCCAAGATGATAGAATCCAGGTAGAACTCAATGTCCAGGACAGAGTAATATATATATATATATATATATATATATATATATATATATATATATATATATATATGTATATATGTATATACATACTATATGTATATATATATATATATATATATATATATATGTATATGTATGTATGTATATATATATATATATTTATATACATACAATGTATGTATATATATATATACATACATATATATATATATATATATATATATATATATATATATATATATATATGTATAAATATGTATGTATGTATATGTAAGATATTATACATAAGTCATGCATGGAAATAAAATTAATGAAAATTTCGACCTAGAGAATGGCAAACTACTTATAAGAGAAAGTAACTAACTTAGACGGAAATCTTTGAAAATGCCGCTATCGGACCTCATCAAAATATACATCTGCACCCCGGATTTTTCAAATATGTCCTTTGCTAAATGAAATACTCCTTTAAATAAATTCAACTACAGTTTCGATATAAATAAATATTCACTTATTAAAATTATTTATTATTATTATTATTATTATTATTATTATTATTATTATTATTATCTGGACTGAAATTTCTCGAGAATGCTGCTATCGAATCTTATCAGAATCTAAACCTATACTTCGGATTTCTTCACATATCTCTCTTCCTAAAAGAAACACTCTTTCCCAAATCACCATACATAATTATATAAAAATTTAAAAATTAAAAGAAAAATGTTAAATTCAAAACATTCTATTATTTAAAAAAGATAATACATAAAATAATCCCCAAACTAAAACAATATAAATAATAATCCCATTATAAAAAATATTCACCAACTACATTCACTCACTTTTGTTTAATTGACATTAATTTATATCACTTAGCATCTTCCATAATTTACTTTGACTTCCACTTAGACTGAAGTATATTTATAAGCGTTCCTTACATTTGCCTTAATAAGATTAATCAGATGACGAAACGCATTGGCTAAGATAAATTTATTATAATGTTATTCAAATATAACAGAGTTCACCAATAAGTTCACAGCCTAACACAGTTTTTAGCTGCATTTCGATCTATTTGATTTATAAAGAAACATTTGCTTGAGTGCATTGAAAAGGGAAGCGGATTATACTGAAAATACATATAAAATAAATGCATTTTTTCATCATTAGGCTACAGAATTACTGATGTACCCGCATACACTTGTAAATTATTTGCCATCTACATCTAAATCCTTACCTGTTTTAATGAGGTGCGGTGGCATTAAAATTTTCTCCCCATAATATATTAATATCCAAGTTGAATTCCAGGGCATTGTCACTCCTTTTGGAGAATCTTGATTGATCCTAGGGCAATAGTCTATTCACCACATTTGGTCAATTGAGGGTTGAAATACATTATTATATATTAATAATTACCAAAAACGCACAGACACTTCTAATATTGCAGATTTACATTTTACACTCACGTCCAATAGATTCATTATTTTATTTCTTCAGTTGCTGTTTAACAAATTCTTACATGAGATAACACACTTACTATCTTGTATGTATATACAATTTTGTAGCCATATGACAACGTACTAGCCGTTTGTTTGGAATACTAAATTTAATTTATATTCGGCTATTGTGTAAAGACATTGATCTATTTTTGAATTCGAACAAAGAAAAGCAAGCCCTCTTACTGGGGGTAAAAGACTTTCTTACCATCTTTCTTAAAAAGAATCTTTCTGTACGTTAAAATTTGTCGATCCTACACAAAGTTTCACCAATCATGGAATCTTCTAGTAAAATATCAAACTTTCGTCATAATAATAATTTTTATGTCACCAGAAAAATACAACACGACATTAAAATCCTCCTGCTGCTTTCTGGGTTATATCGATATTCAATTATCATTATTAATGTAGAACTATCAATTAAGCAAGCCTAATTGCAGGGATTCCAGTCCTGTGGTAGCACCCCCCTACACGCACACACACATACACATTGCACTAAAGAGGGAAGTTGATGCATGCATGCCAAAGCGAGTGATAAGCAGGGACTGTGTAATTTTTGTCCTTGGCCCATATATAGGCATAAGGGCATCCAACGTTTAACTGACTATGTGTCATATCCTACCTCTATGGATGCACGTATTCGTTACAGAAAACGTCAATATACACCTGCAAACCATGGAGGCCATTTTGACTAAAACATTACATTAGTATATTCATACCTTATGAGAAAAAAAATGTATCTATCAGGCATAGCCATAGAAGCACCACAAAATTCATGACAAAACACGCATTACAATAACGACCCATTAGAGATTTGTGAAATTAGTTTTAAAAGCGAAGTCATTATTGAATTTCATGTCATTAAAGAGGCATCATTAAAAACTTATTACCATAAACTAGTTAAATTGATAATCAATGTACATCATATTCAACTAGGATCTGTCTTGTCTTGTCTTCGGACGGGATGGCACAAACGAAGCGTACCTCATCGCTGGAGGTTCATTTCCCAGGCAGCACCTCCCCATTGCACATAACCAGGTAGGTTCTGACGCTTGCAGCAAAATCCAGTGGGACTCGACAATTGTTTTGTCTATACCAGCATGTAAGCGTGTGGGACCCCACCACAAACCTACCTTTATGTTGTATTTGCCTGCGTGGGGCGGCAAATAAATATCGTTTTCGGCTCAAATTTGATAATAATGCAGTCGTATCTGAACTGAAATAATGGAGCAGATATCAAAATGCACAAGCGCTTCATGACGCAGATCACAATATGAAATGGCTGTTGAAGAGACATTTTATATTAATGTTTTTATTCGTTTTTTCCCTTCATCCACCTTGAAATTACAAGGAACATTATTCGAAGATGGAAAGGATTTTATGAAATAAAAGAAGCCTACAGTCGAAAGGGAAACAAAAAAAATGGTAACTGAAACGAAAACAGAATTGTGTAACAAGGAGAAACACTGTAGCATTCTAAAGAGCCAAAGACAGTTATTTCAAGTTATCATTTTTCTTTCTTTTTTTTTTTGTAAAATATCTGGAAAGTTATTAATCTTATTTATATCTCATTGTATTTTGATGTGTTTTCGTCTTTTCTTTGGTAATTTTATATTGTATTTATGTGTGATTTTTTTTTTTTTTGCTGTTTTTATTTTTACTGTTTTTTTAAGATGTTCCTTTTCCCAACCCTCTTAAATATATGAATCCACATTATCAAATAATAGAATTTCTATTACATTTTACGAAAATTCCTGATAAAAAAAAATGTACAAATATTTTTTTTATTTATATGACTAATAGGAAACTGTACATAAAATATGTGCACGCGTATTTATATGTGGTTCGCGTGCTTGTATATATCTACATATAACATATGTGTATATGTGTGTGTGTGTTGGTATGCGTGTGTTGTGTATGTCCACGTTGTTCATGGATAAAATGTCTGTGTCTATATTGGTATGGGATAACGATTTAAGGAAAAGGTAAATGATATGTAGAGACAAAAAAAAAGAAAAGAATCGAACATTCTAGACCTTCAACTCCTGAGATTACGATGCCTCCTACGAGACGGCATTAAAACAATCCAGTTGCTTTTTCATTCGATTTTCGACATTAAACAATTCATCCATCGACAATCGAAAGTAGATATCCACATTTTTCCTATTCTCTTTTTTATGCGTGTCAACTTTGATGTATCACCTGCTTACTCAGTATATATACATACACACACTGACATATATATTTACATATATATAAATGCATACAAGCACACACACATATACATAAACAACAACACAAATACACGCATATATATATATATATATATATATATATATATATATATAAATATATGTATGTATGTATGTATGTATGTATGTATGTATGTATATATACGCTGTGCTGAAAAAGTCTCATTCAGACCGAGAAGAGATTCCAAAACAAATTCTCAGATTTTGAAAAGTGAAACGGACCGAAATCCTCTCAGTACCCCAAACACCAACAAGTGTTGATTGAGTTTTCGATTCAGTCAGCACCTGACAATTGCATTGTGCATGAAACCCAGAGTTGCGCTACGGATGTGTAAAAAATGTACATTTACTTTATTATTAATATAAATTATAGGTATGTTATTTTAGATCGAACACCATTTTATATTCTTATATATATATATATATATATATATATATATATATATATATATATATATGATTAAGGAACAGATACAAAATGAAATCGTTTAATATATCTAACATGTTTCGTTTTTATTAAAGGTTCATCAGCAAATGAGATATGGAGATGATTGTTCCTTATCCTATAATTCTGTCGGATTCCTATTCATATTTTATTCTTATTTGATTCCCGTGTATATATATATATATATATATATATATATATGTGTGTGTGTGTGTGTGTGTGTGTGTGTGTGTGTGTGTGTGTGTGTGTGTGTGTGTGTGTGTGTGTGTGTGTGTGTAAATATTAACATAGAGATAAAATATATCAGTAAAAACATAAACATACATATATGCATGTATAAATACACACATACATGTATATATATGTGTATGTGTGTTTTGTTTTCGTGTGTGTGTATAAAAATTCAGATTTAAATAAGATATGTCAATAAAAACATAATAATTAAAGATAATTTTTTCTTTATGGGGAGAAAACGCGAAAAAATTTGTATTAAAAATAAAACCATTAATTCGTTATGAATGTATACATACATATATAAATATATGTGTGTGTGTGTGTATGTGTGTGTGTATGCGTACATTGTCATAATGTATATATCATTCATTAAAAAAATACAGGGAGTGGGCAAAAACTGGGAAAAGGCATGTTAAAAATTTACGAATATACTGTGGAAATGCAGTTTAAAAAACATGTATGACGATTTATCAACATTATGATAATGTCTTCGTCTTTCTGATTCTGTCTCTTTTTATATGTATATGTATATATATGATGGTTCCGTGTATGATACAGGTTCGATTTCTGTCGGAGGACACATATTTTCCACGAAATTTCTCGGACATTCAAGTCGGTAAATGTAGTTAATTATATATGTTTATTATAAACAGGGCATTTACTTAAATATTTGTATCTATAAAAATAACGTATAAACTGAAATTATATTAAAATAACTGTCATTTGTTTACGTTAAGATACGCTTCGAGCAGATATGATCGTTCGAGAGAAATGTTAAATTTGTTGTTTAATATATATATATATATATATATATATATAGTGATATATATTATAGTGATATTGGGCACTTTTAGACATAAATATAGCATACCATAAAATTATAATATATATATATATATATATATATATATATATATATATATATATATATATATCAGGTCTAGCCATCACGGCTAGGACCCACAAAGCCACTTCCATAGTCGCAAACCATTGACCTTCTATCTGTATTCCATCGTCGACAAATAAGTTCCACTCAAACGGCTTCTTCCCGAAAACTACATGGAACCGATTCACAAGAGGATGTTTCCCTGATCAGTACAATCTTCAAGTCTATTTATCCGTTTTCTTCACGTACTGTCAATATATAAACTACCCCTTAACGTAACACTCTATCTCGAATGGCCACTGGGCCTTGTAGAAGGTAAAAAAGTTATATATATATATATATATATATATATATATAATATAAATTGATAATCTGTATGGATAATTCCAATGAGGATATAAAGCCAGAGAGAGCTCAATGTAAGAACAGAGAAAATGGTAATTATGAAAGCGCAAACCTTAGAAATCCATGGTAATATTTTATTTTGCAAAAGCGATAGTACGATTTCGTCTCATCAGTTGAGTTTTTTTTTTGCAAAACACTATCTTTCTTCTTATTATTATATTTGATTGATCTTTTTTACTTCATACCGTTCGTGTTTTTTTATGTCACTTCCGGTCATATATGCCTTATGGTAAAGAATGGCTTCTTCTTCTTATAATTCCTGTATTGAATTTTTCAAAAATTCATGGGCATAATGAAGGAAAATAAACTTATTAATAATGGCAAATGGTCTAATGTCGGCAGAAAATACCTAATAACATATATATATATATATATATATATATATATATATATATATATATATATATATATATATATATATATATTTATATACCATAGGTTCCTGACCAAATGAATAAAAGGAACAAATATCAGTCTCTTTGCCAACTTTTCCGTTATCGAACGAAGAACTTTCCAGAAACCGGTCGTTGATATATATATATATATATATATATATATATATATATATATATATATATATATATCTGTGTATGTGTGCGTTTATATATATATATATATATATATATATATATATATATATATATATATAGTAAGGTGGTATGAAAAATTCATAAGCTGATTATGAATGATTGATGCCAGAGCTGTGAAATCTTGAATGCATGTATTTTCTCTTATTAATGACTGCATTGTTTCTTTTCTGTTAAACTGACATCTGACTGTTTAACGAAAACTCTTCATCCTGTTGGACAGAACGATCATCAACACCAGATACAACGTAATACTAGTACCCAGCCTTTTCTCTTTTTTTTCATGTTGGGGAAGTTTTGATAATCAAATTAGGAGAATAGAGAGGGTGATCAACCAATTCAAAGACACAGTCACACACAGCAGCCATTGGAACCAAAGACTTGTATCCTGGAGCATTGTCCGAATGAAACAAGTCACTTTGGTCTTGATAGCCTTTCATAACATTCCCACCATCGTACGCATGTGTATTCGCAACAACATAAGAAATTTTGTCAGATGAAGTCCTAAACGACGAAACGCGTCACATAAAAACTTTTTTTCTAATTTGCCATACATTCCCCCTATAGATAGATAGATAGATAGATAGATAGATAGATAGATAGATAGATAGGTAATTTATGAGATACATTGATACGCATTGAAACACGACTCCAATTGTATATGTTTTTCGGTGTAATATTCTAATATATATATATATATATATATATATATATATATATATGTGTGTGTGTGTGTGTGTGTGTGTATGAAGGACAGGAGAGCAGAAAAAACGTATGTTTTAACATTTTTCGCCAATTATTTCAATCAGAACACGTATATCTATCTATCTATCTATCTATCTATCTATCTACACTCTGTTTATAACTATCCATCGATCGATCGATTTATCTATCCCAGCCTGTTCGTATGTATTTACCTATCTATGTATCGCAATCTGTTCGGATATATCTATTTATCTCAGTCTGTTCATATCTATCTATCGACCTATCTATCTCAGTCTGTTCGAATCAATCTTTTTATCTCAATCTCCTCGTATCTATCTATCTATCTATCTATCTATCTATCTATCTATCTATCTACGTTATCTCTCTATGTAACTATCGCATTCTGTATCTATGTATGTATCTATCTGCCTGTCTATCTCTCTCTCAATATATATATATATATATATATATATATATATATATTAATTAAAAGAAAAACAGAGCCTATTGTGAATATGGTTGTCCGGTACCGTGGAGCACTGTTTTGGCTTAAAAATTCAGCTCCTATTACAGTCTCTCCCTATATACTATTTTTTATTTTCTTACCCAAAATTTAAGAAAAATAATTTAAGCATAAATATATAGCGAGAGATACAATGAAGAGATACAGATAGATAGATAGATAGATAGATAGATAGATAGATAGATAGATAGATAGATAGAAGCAGACTGCAATAGATAGATAGATAGATAGATATAGATAGATAGATAGATAGATAGATAGATAGATAGATAGATGTCTATTCATTAAAAACGATTGACAAGGTATTACAGTTAAGCTTTTGATTCAATTTTTCTTACGTTCGTATAAGTGCTTTCTTTTCTGGACATAAATTGTATAAAAACTGTCCAATTATTCTGTATATCCGAGCGCTTTCGTCTATTCTATTTTATTCATCAACGGGAAACAAACATTAGTTAATAATGTTTTTCAAACGAACTTAATTTAGACTATTTCTATCTAAGCTAACCAATGGCATCACTGAACATACATATAAATCAATAACATTAACATTTTCTATAAAAATCAAATAGACAATAATTATATGCAGCATGAATTTCTTAATTGTAATTCACTTATATGCTCTATAATAAAAATTATATTGAGGAGCTCTCTTTTGTGGATCAGTTTTAATACTTTATATTAATAGGATATACTTGGATTACTTATCCACTGATTTTTTACCTATATATATATATATATATATATATATATATATATATATATATATATATATGAGTGTGTGCGCCTGCGCGCGCGTGTTTGTGTGTGTGTATGATAAAATATAGTTTTGGAATATGGCATAATTATGCAGAAAAGGGCTCAATGTGCACAATAGAGTTTGGGGAAATGTAATTGTGAACTTTGAGTCCGGAAGATTTAGTTCAAGCATGAAACATTCGGTGTCGAATTCAATGTCCACTTATCTATCTATCTATCTATCTATCTATCTATCTATCTATCTATCTATCTATCTATCTATCTAAGACTAGTTCTGTGTTTCCATCTTTTATTAAAGACTGGTTGTCCTATATTCAAAATAGTTCTGTAGTATACAAATACAAATGTCAGTACGATATGTTATACATCGTACAGACCAAAGATTGGAAACTCGTACTGCGCAACAGGTTCCCGCCTATTTAAGATCTAGCAGTCGGGGTCTTTGATCAAGAACCAATCAGTCCGTGCACGATTCGTCTATCGGACAGCATTTGTTGGACAAACGGGATTGTGCCGCCGAGTACGATGACACATCCTTTTCTATGCTGCTCAGTCCAGCACTTACGAGTTCTCGAAGCTGTATATAATAAATTATATCAGCCGACACTATGTAGACAGAAGGAATATTTTATCCGTTCCTTGAGGTTGTTTGGCGGATTATGAGTAAGCCTTTTCTATTTTATACTCTTTTGGAACCCTGTAATATCTGTTTTAGTCCTTAATTATTTACAATTGAAATTTGTTTGGAAAAGGAATCTTAAATGTTCTTCTTCTGTAGGAGTCAAGATATATATATATATATATATATATATATATATATATATATATATATATATATATATATATATATTTTGTAGATATATATATACACACACACATATATATATATATGATATATATATACACACACATATATATATTGTTCTCTCCAGTAGATTTCAATATATGAGGGCCTCACAGTTCAGGTTTTTAGCATTGACCCACGAGATTACCAACACAAATGATTTGATTAGATTGGTGAAGGCTTATGTTGAACAACCTAGTCTTTCTGGAATATCTGATAACAGAAAAATGGTACAAAATATGCTATAAAGTGACTAAACGCTATCCTTAGGTTTGAATTCAGTTCCTTCCTTCTCCTAGTAGACGTAAAGAACGGTTTTGGGTAGGAAAATTATGACAAAATGGAATTGTTTTAGTGTGATGCCTTTCCTTTGTGCACCAGTGTGGTCGCATCAGCGGAAACACATCAAACTAAAACATTTTCCACTTTGTGATATATTTTCTCCCTAATATATATATATATATATATATATATATATATATATATATATATATATATATATATTATATTGTGTATATTTAGGCAGCAATTTTTTCATTGATGCATGTTTCATTAAATAATGTAGACAAGTTTTGTCTATTTATTTTAAGTATCAATATGGTGATTTCCTTTCGTCCTTCAATGATAATGTTATTAAACTTATCAGACAATATGAAAGGAACTTACTTAAAATAGACAAAACTTGTCTATATTAATTAATGAAACATGCATCAATATATATATATATATATATATATATATATATATATATATATATATATATATATAACTGTGTGCGTGTGTGTGTGAATACACACTACAGATCAAAAGTTTGAGGCCACCCCTGGTATTTTTTAAAATTTTCACAAAATCTTTTAAGATGAAAATATGATACATGGTTAAGTAAAAGTGAGATACTATTTTTCATTAAAAATGTTATTATGAGAAAAAGAGAAAAAATCATTTCATGATTAAATTTTGCTCTCGTCAAAACATCTTTCTTTAGCCATGATTACTGCAGCACAAATTTTTGGCATTCGTTGCAAAATTTTGATAATTTTCAATCACTCTTTTTATTTTTTTTTTCACTCTTCTGTCAAGTTCATCCCATGCTGATTCTGGTGGGGTGTCTGGAGGATATTTGAACAGTAGTGTATGGATATATATATATATATATATATATATATATATATATATATATATATATATATATCGACTCTCCCGTCGAATTCGACGTATGAGAGTCAAGTAGATCAATTCCTAGGAACCCACAGTCCGATACCACCACACTTTTTGAAGGGCTGAATACAGCGACCTGGTGTACTACGTGCCACAACGTCCCCAAACGACCCTACGCAGGTTTTGAATTCGTCGTTGTCTTTCTCCTAACCCAGTTGCTATCAAAGACGATAGAACCCAGTCTGTCCTGCTATTTACCCACAGCTTGAGGGATAAGAAAAGGATTCATACTCCACCGTGACTTCCCCACTCTCTCTCCCTCCCCTCTTTGTGTCTCTCTCTCTCTCTCTCTCTCTCTCTCTCTCTCTATATATATATATATATATATATATATATATATATAATTCATTTCTAAATGCTTGTTTCAATGCTTAGAGAAGTAGAGATAATCTTATAAATTAGATGTTCATCCCACTGAGACTTGCTATATTTTTAAATTGTAGTCTACATTCACTGTAGTTCGCATTATCTCTCTCCCATCTCTTTTTATTTCTCTTTCAGTGTATCTATCTTTATCTCTAACTCTCGTGCGCTTTCCTGTCTATTATTGTGGCATACCAGGAGTCACACGACCTCAAACTGGACCTGTGTGCTCGACGTTTTTAATTCTTGGTCGAAGCTGTGTGGAAATCTTTACTATTCACTCAAACAGAAATCACATTCATGTTTCAAATTCTTACTCCCAAAAATCCATATCAATTTTACTAATCTCTTACATACGCTTGATGTCGAATGAATGGGAGATATCAGTATGGCGCCAGCATTTTTAGTCAG